ACTGCAGGTAGTGTCTGCGCCTGCAAGGCCTTGGCGGCCGCAACGGATATCGCCTCTTCGTCCGGCGCGGAGAAGTCCAAAGTACCAGAAGACGTCGCAAACGGGAATATGTCTCCCCAGTCAGCCTTGTCAGAGCTATACATCGACGCGACGGGCGTCTCTGAGTCCACATAGTCGGTGTAATGTTCCACAGTGGGTGTCGGGCTAGGAGAGGGCATTCGAGCAGGGGTTGACTCCACATGCACACTCGTTGATACGCTCCGGCTGCGTCGCAAAAGAGACATAATCTCCGAGTCGGGTCCTAGCGATGGCGGTACAGAGGCATTTTCGGTTGTAGGCGGCTCCAAGGACGACCTTGACCGGAAGCTTGGGCTGCGAGGGGTCGACCCCGCGCCCTCACCAAGCAAGAGACTGATGTCGACGCCCTCATCTTCTCCAGATTCATCACCTTCCTCAGACTCTTCATCGAACGCGACAGCCTCTTCACCTTCGCTGGATGATGCGTCGTCTGGCTCGGATGATGCTGACGCCCAGTGACCGAGTGCGGCCGACACGCTGCTGGACCGGCTGCGTGGGATCGTTTTGCTCAGGTCTAGCTGCTGAGCATTCAGGATCTGGCCGGACTGGCTGAGGATGGCATCCAGGTGCTCTTGGCCGCGTATCCGCTCCTCCTCTTCACGCTCGAGCTGCTCCTCCCTACGAATATGCTATACCAGTAACTGAGTTAGCCCTTGAGCTGCCCATGGCAATGCTAGAATACTCACATAGACGGCCTTCTTCCACTCGTCGATGACCTGCCTAATCGTCGCCTTCGCCAGCGCACGAAGTCGTTTTTCCTCCTGGGCTTTCACCTTATCTCCCTTTACTGCCCTGCTCTCCCAGTATGCACGGACTCTACTCGCGACTTGGGCAGCGACTTGGGGTCCGCTAATAGGCTGATTCACGGCACGATCCTTGACGGCCTCGATGATATGGGCCCACGCGTCTTGGCGACTACTCACAATACCACTTTGCGACAACGAGCCAGTGCGCAGGAACTCGTCGCCGATACCCTCGGGGAAGAATCTCCCCTCTCTCTGCAGCCTGTCCACACGCCGCCAGAAGCCAGCCACTTGCTGCACGTGGTGTTCTACTGCGTCGTCGTTCACGTCGTTCCCGTCCAATGTAGTATAGGAAGAAAGAAGGGCAGATAGCGAGGAGCCGAAGCGTGGCGCAGGTGGCTGTTGGAGGGGACTCGAATACACTGGCTCTGGGCGGCGGACGATGAGCTTGATGCGCTTCAGAGGCGATTTGCTGGGCGACGGTGGCTGCGCCGTGCGGCTTCCGGAGGCGCCTGGGGTCGATTTCTGCCTCTTGGACAACCGACGCGCAGACCGTCCCGCAGAGACAGGCTCGGGAGGATGATCCGTAGGCTGTTGCGCGCCTTTTGGATCGACGCCGGTAAAAGGAAGGCCAGTTGGCTTTATTCGTCGTCTTTTTGCTGGAGGCAATTCCTCCACTTCTGTGGTGGTGTCACGTGCATTCTTGCGCTGGTGGGGGCGTGAAATGGGAGAAGTGGCTCGCCCATTGGTATAGGACACAGAAGCCTTCGCCTTGCCCTTACCATTGCCGGCATATGCGCTGGCGCTCGCAGATAAGTCTGGAGGATGCATGGGACGCGACGGCTTGGACCTGACAGGTACTGATATTGAAGGGGCCGTGGTGGGCGTAGGGGAGGCAGTACCGACAATATCCTGCCCTTTCTGCTTTTGCCGAGGGGCCTTCTGTGGCGCAGCAATCGCCTGCAAAGCTTGCATACGCTCCGTGCGCGCTCTCCGCGTCATACGGGATGGACCAGCAGTGGTGGGTTCTTGTACCAAGTCAAATTGGGCTTTGTACTGTAGGAGCTGTCAAGCAATGCACACGACGTGAAGAGGAGGGAAGTCTTTCGGCAACAACTCTCAGAGCCAACCGCCACCGCATCAGAGCTCTCATTCGACACTGGCGGCAACACCGTCACGACGACGTAGGCTATAACACAAGTCTCGATGATTGTAACCCTCGGTGACCGTACATACCCTTTTATCGGATGAACTCTGACAGTTGGTGCCAAAGTGTTCTGCTGTGCAAGACGTACCTCGCGGAATACGGTAGAATTGTCCTCCTTGGCCGTCTGGCGCGTGGCATTAGAAGAAGGATATCACGCGCAGCAGTAGGCGCACCTTGGGGTCGTACGAGAGCAGCGTTCGGAACTGTTCCAGTTGAAAAGCCTCGCGCACCTGCAATGCTCAGTTAGGATCACATCATCCCAGGACAGAGCACAACGGAGGCCGGAGGCCTGATCCCAAGCCCGAGATGTTGTCCGGCGCATCTCATGTCCAGACGGCGCGAAGCCTGTATGCAGCCCCCCTTCCAACAGACACCCCCTCATGCACACACGACCTATGGGTCTGATACTTCGTTTTTCCCGGAATTATCAGGCCCACAGCCCTCCGTTGGCAGTTCAGACAAGGGTCTAGCCTCGCCACTGATATTCAGCACACAAAGACGCCTCAGCCATAGCTGCAAGACCTCCGAGCGTACGGGCAGGGGGTAACTTGCAGCATGCTGTCCCCCGGGTCGTCGCGCGTAAGCCAGGCCTGACATCCTCTTCAATAGTAAGTGGCAACCCGACCCATAATTCGTCCTTTTACCGGCTCAGGCCTGGGAAGTCTAGGTCTCTGGGTGCCCGGAGGACTGCACTACACTTCTGCTAGTCCGAGACCTGCTTATGTCCAGATGACATAAGGCCTATCCCCTGCCTTGCGCGAACGCCTCGTCGCAAATATCGGGGTGCATCGATGATAGCATATCCAGCAGCATGCTGACCAGGAAAAAGTAAATCGCAAGCTTACGTATGTGTCATGTCTATTGGAGACTTTGTCCATCTCGGTCTGCCTCTCATGCGTCATGCGAACGCGTTCGCGCTCGACGCGTTGCTCCACGCCACCCGACTCCCCAACACCGTCCCACAAGCGATCCCTATCCTGTTTTCGGGTAGCATCGCGTATGGCTCCAGAAGGTCCCGATTGCGTCGAACGTCCCCGAGTGGTCATCTCGCGCGGACATGCATGAACAAGCGCGTGAGAAGGGGTCTAGTCGGTCGATCTGCACAGATACTGGACAGTTTCGCGAGATTCTTGGACTGGCGGACTCCCAGAGCGAAAAAGAGTCAGAGACGACGACCAGAGAGTGTGCTGAGGTCGCAAGTGCTCGGCGTACACGATCGAGAGTTAGACCATCCATATTCGTGAGCATCCAGGAGGTTGTTTGGTCCGCGCAAATAACGGGATGCGCGCGAGTCGTGGCGTTGTGTGGGTTTTCCTTCTTTGGGTCTTGTCATAGAAACTCTCAAGAAATGCGCGACCGACCCACAGCAGCTGTCTCGACTCTCAAGCTCGTATGTACTTGAACCAACGCTCTGATCTCTGCGCAACGGTGAAGATGTCTCTGTGCTCTTAGGCCACACCCTGCGTGCGGAGGGCTTCAGGTGCGCTTTCTTTATACAAGTTGAAGTTCGACCTCACGCGTTGCTCACATCCGGGACCGCGCCCGTTGACAGCATTTTCGAACTTGTTGTCGCTATTACCGTGGTTTATATCAAGGATGAGACTGTTCGCTATAGAAAGACCAAAATTCCCGCATACATCCAGTGTCTATGCCCTACGCATCTCATCTCCGGACTGCGAATGCCTCGTACTCGAGTTGTTCGAGGGTACGCTCATTCGAAAGCTCCACGCCCCTCACGGTGGCATGCGGCGGGCCTATGTGCAGTGCCTTCTTGCTGTAGGAGAATCTAGTCGTCAGTCAAGTCGTCTCGTAACTGCCCGGAGCGATCTCGCACAATCTGTCTAGGGTGCTTTCGCTGCCCTGCGCTTCTCCAACTACATGGCCGGCCTGGTGATGGCCAGATGGGTAAGTACACGACTCGACCGATTGCTCGGTGCTGGCATCACTGACCGTGTCATTGGCCACCCAGCCTACGACGCCCGTATCGTGGGCGATGCCCTTAGTGAAGGCTCTGAAGTTGACGCCTTGAACCCTACCGCTCACGATGAAGTTGAACGCGTGGTACGCCATGGTGGTTAGTGTGAGAACACCTTCCTAGGCGAGTGTAGATGACCGGTGACTACGGACAAACTGTGCGGCTCATTTGAGTGATCGCCCTCCTGACCAGGATGGGCGTGCTTCTTGACTGTGACATCATGTGGAACCTTCCCAACTACGACTCGTTTTATTATTGATACCTAAGTGACATATGGCTTACTGGACACTATTTTTAACTTACAAAGTGTGCATCCATTAGTTTCAATCCAGAACAACTTGTAATGGCTGTACCAAGGGCAGGACAAGTTAGTGTCAGGCTGGAATGCCTCAATGATGGGGATAAGGCATTGTATCTTGTAACTTTTCACCAGTTGCCTAAATCTGTTGCACACAATGAGAGATGGACGCTGTGCATTTGCCACATGCACCCAGGTCCAACTGGACCCTGTCAGAGCAACTTGGGAAAACAAGTGAGCCTTATAGAGGTGTAAGGAGGGAGCCGATGTCAATCTGAGCCATGGCATCTGCACTGCATATGTAGGTCATTGTAATTTGTCACTTACCCCTTGTCCAAGACAGATACTCTATCAAGGGCCCAAGCAGGCCACATACAGATATTCTGGCTTCTATAGGGAGTGTATCAGAATGAGCTGGTAAAGTGATCATTGGATGGTGAATTCATGCCAAGACTTCAGTCCTCATGGTCTTTCCACTGGTAGACCCAACTTAGGAAACCACCGCTGAAAATGTCATCCATGTCCAGCTATGCTGAGTCTTGGTTCTATAAGATCTTGGGGGAATGCCAACAACTGGCTTACTTGAGCAAAGGGCTTGCTGAGCCTGTGGAAGGCATTTTGAAATGCTAGGCATATTACTGGACCCTCTTCGTACTGGATAATTGCTGGTTATATTTTCCTTTTGGCCATGGCAACTGTGGTGAGATGGCCGAGCGGTCTAAGGCGCCAGACTAAGGTAATCTGTTCCCGCTTGGAGTTCAGTGATTGTCTCGAATCTGGTCCGAAAGGGCGTGGGTTCGAATCCCACTCTCATCAATCCTTTTGCTCATGCCTGAGAAACACTCTTTTTCTGTTTGAGAACTCACAGAACCGATGGGGAGGGCGAGAAGTGAGTGCGCGAACCGCTGGCCAAGATGGACGCAGCAACCTGCCAGCAAGTTCGTTAAGCGCCCAAACTTCGACGCCCGAAGCTAGCCCGAATGCCACAGGGGCTCTTGTCTTCAGTTATGTACCAGTGAGATGTAGTAGCCCGCCAGTGCTGTTATACGAGCACGCATCGTCGTGTGTATCGTAGCCTTGGAGCAGATATGTGCAATGTACATTCATATGCCGTCGCGAGAAAAATTTCCTGTGGTTGATACTTTGGATACGTACGGTCGTAAGCATAACCACGGTACGAACCACTGGCTTTGAAGCTGCTATTAGTGCTACCGCGGACATTATCCACGAGGCTATACCATCACATCAAGTTCCGTGGTACTTATTGTGATGCTGACGCAGACACTCTAGCACGCTAGATAGATGACGTTCAGGAAGAGAGCTCGTCTGATATTTGCGGCAGTGGCCTTCAACGAGTGTAAGTAATACGTATGCAAGATATGCCCAATAGATCATATCTCTCGAATACTGGTCAAGGCCTTATGTCCTTAGTAGCGTCCAATCATGCACTGCATAATCTTTCAGTTCAGTGATAGATTGACATTCTCTGACTTGGTGCCCCAGCGAACCTGGGCTAAGCCCGTCGATAAAGCTGAATTTAGTGAGATGAGAGCTGTACTCCACGAGAAAGGATCGTTCGCGATACCCAAGTCGGTCTCTCACCCTCGAAGCCTGCATCTACAAGGCTCACCACGGTTCGGGCTAATGGCGACCTTGTTTCGTTCTATTCGCTCACACTGGCGGGCCTTCGGTGTTCCTCTCGCCGTCAGCATACTTGCCGTTCGATTCCTACCCAGTCCTGAGAACTAGAAGAGACGAGGCCATCGATCGCATTCAGCCGCCGTGCGAGCGTATCCGAAAGAGAGAAGAACTGGAGGAGGCTGCGGCTCTCCCAATATCTGTTGAAGCTCGACGGCGCCATCACTCCAACGCCCGAAGTACCGCACCTAGCTCGCAGCCTCGTCCGGCCCATATTGATGGGAACGCAACGCAGGCACACAGTGCACGCAATGACGAGAAATGGGGTTCGGGAACACGAGGCGCGGGTGCGTAACGCAGGGAGTCATTGGAGTGAGACACGATGGATGAGGACACAGAGGAAGGGGAGCGTGACGGCGGCGGGGTGGGCATCCGTTGAATGGGCCGGGAAAGATGCCGGGGAGGCCAATGTCAAGGGCACAATGGCACAGAATATGGCGGGGCCTCTACATGTACTGACAGGGAAGCAGGGGCAGGAAGGTGGGCCGGCGGTCGTGTCCTCTCACTATCCAACGTTCCTACATGGGCGCAGATTATGTAAAGACACCGAGGGGCTATGGGAGGCTGGTGGGGAGTGCAGGCCGGCGGGCTATCAATGAGGAAGTCGTGCGTTGAGAACGGTGGCGGTCAGTCTGCAGCATAATCCGACGCCATTGCGAAGACCCTATTAATTCCCAGGGACTTCTTGGGAGGGTCAACGACAGGTAGCAGAATGAATGCAGGAGACACGGAGTGGCATACATAGGGGAGAAATGAGAAGCGAGCAGGTCGAGAAACGAGATGGGGACGTGTATGAATGGCAACACATGAACGCGCGCAAATTGAAACAGCTTTGTCATAGCATCGAGTTTGGGGGCATTAGCAGCGATAGACTCGAGTTGAGCCCGTCCACCTTGCGCGACAACTTGAACGCGTCGCAAGCCTGCCGGTCACCCGCTCTTCTGTGTTGAGGCTTTAACCATAGACTTCTCTCCTGGGGAGACAAGAGAACGGCGCAGGAGGCTAGAAGACGCAACGTTGACGTCAAAGGTTCGGCGTATGTAGTATCTTCGTAGGGAACGCCCAAATTTCGACGGCCGTAACTAATTCAAAGTTGCTTGTGTGGTTGGTGTGACAAATAGTGAGGATTAGCATCGAAGTAGAGATATGGGGACAACATGCAAGCGGGAGCTCGTATAATAGCAGCAAATCGCGGCTCGACGGTCCATGCCGAGGTGATTTCCACAGTCTGGTCGTGACAGACGCGTCAGCAAGGGCGTAGCCAAGTATTTCGTACCCTCACCTTCTCCTGGGCTCCGAAGTATAGAAGAGGACAAGTCGATCACCAAGACTTGCCGCTCTTGTCCAGAGCTGCCTGCGCAGCTTGCGCGAGCGCAATCTCAGTTTCCTCGGTCTGACTTGTGTTAGGAAACGTCTAATGCAATACATCATATAACTCACCTCTCTATCCTTTTGTACATTTCCTTCTTGCAGTGCAAGAGCCTAGCAGCGATTGAGGTGAGTTCATCCCGGCGTTTATAGAGACATGCTGACCTCTACGCAGTACAGGTTAGCTTCCGATCACGAGCGAGTTTTACGCGCAACATACCTCTTCCCCTCCGTAGTGTATCCCGATGCACTACACCGATCATGACTACCCCCCACAGGCTTATACCCACTAGGGTGTACAACAGCCCTCGATGAAGAATGTCGGTGACAGACAGACGCGGTCGTGTTGACATTTTGACGTTCCAAGTTATTGACAAAGAGCCCGTAGGCAGCACGCAATCTTCGGAGATACGATAAGACTGGTGGAGAAGGACACGATTGAGATGGCCGTCAGCGACAATGGCCTGGCCGCCTCCGAGTGAACGCGCGCATGTGTAGATCTGAGATGTGATCTCATCTGACAATGGGATCTGGCGAGGAGGAGCGCCCCGCCAGTGAACGGCGTGACAGTGGCCATTACATAATCAAAGGTTCTCCATACATGATCACTACGGCAGTATGCGAGTCGTGCACCGAAGCATAGAGATGCATGCTATACAATAAGATCGGTAAATGGGATATGAGTGCGTACATATGCAATGCGAGAATCCATTCGCCACGGGCGCTCATCGTCGGCTCGAGTATCATATTCATGCAGTGAGCCGTCCATAATGAGCAACTGACTCGGAGAAGACCCGGCTCTTGACTAGCCGACGTCATGCAACGGCCGGTACACAGGCTAGTACTCCAGTATTACTAGCTTCATGTGCTGCAGAATCGGCGTTCGCCGTCGATTAAGCTAGGTTCAGGTAAACCGATGCCAAGGCTCTGTTCAACTGGATATCTTCGTCTGCAATGTTCGCGCGTTCGATGTCATGTCTGGAGGATACCAGCCCGAGTTAACTCCATGCAGATGAACTGAGATACTGATCGCACACTGTTTCTGCAGGTGCTCTTCTGCGTTGGGTCTAGTCATTAGAGGGCGTGGCACCTCACATTTGGTGCATGTCCACAAACTGTCGGAGGTTGTAATTCGCGTATTATGCATCTCTGGCCATCAGGAAAACCCCAAATTTGAATAAGCATGAATACACTGATATTCTTGGGAATGATGTGTAATTATGGCCATTAGTCTGTTCTCCAGATTCCGAAGAATTACTTATGTCCTAGGGTCTAAAATCATAATAACAGAGAATTCCATCAAATACCAATGTGATTCTCAGTGTATACTGCACAATAGTGTACCATTCCACAGCACTATGCAGATATTCACATTCACTATCTATATGATCACACCAGGGATTCTTAAGAACATGAAATCAATTCACACTATACTAATAGCTTGCCACTGGTGTTACGCGGAGTGCAACACCCTGCGCTAGCGCAAACTCTAACCCAAAGGTATAGGTTATAGGGCAAGGGGACCAGATGGAGTTCAAGGATGATCGAGGATGCTTGCCCTCAAGCACGTCTGAGGCAAGGTCGAGTTAGTCGAGAGGAGAGGCTTCAAGCACATCTGAAGTGTCCTCAAGAGGGGAGTGTCAACGAGTCCTTGCTAGAGCGGGTGAACGCTGTAGATTGAACCAGGTCAAACTGAGGGTTTGACCTCCAGCTACCTGCACTATATATACATGTGGACTCATGGTCGAGTCAGAGCGAGTCATATCTATCTAGCCAATCGGAGGAGGGAGAGGATATGACTCGACAGAGTGCCCAGGCATGAGTCAGTCCGAGTCAGGTAGGAGTCATAACGAGTCAGGGCAGATAAGAGCACATGGTCAGGGACGAGCGTGAGAAGAAGCGCCGTGGGTTGAGCCACGGGTATGGTAAGGTCACGAGGGGATAAGCCCCGAGTGGTATCATAAGTATGCAGAGGGTGAAAAATAAAGGGAAAACAAACATGGCGTACGTAACAACTGGTGGAGGTCCATTACATATTACTCAGTCATATAAAGTACTAGTAATAAGGCTCCAACTATATAATATACATATACACAAAACCTGTATATAGATAGTATAGTATATTATATAGTATCTATACAGTATATATATAGTTTATATGGTATATCCCAGTGTACAGTTTGCCCTTGAATAATAGTCTTACAAAGTGGGCTGTGATTGATATTGCCTGCTTCTACAGAGCCCA